TGGTCCATGTCTGTTCCTTGTTCTCATTCGTGAGGAGCGAAAATAACTCATGCGGGAGCAGGAAAAACACCACCGTCCGGAGTCCGACTCGGAGAACAATCCCCGTCGGTTTTTACGACTTGGTTGCCAGGGATGATCCATCATGCCATCTCCTTTGGTTGGGTACCGAGTATCGTGGCAACTGGAGGGTGCATGATGCATGTGCATCTTTTTTGAACCATCAAGTAGGATGTGATGTGCGTGAAGGAATTAATAAGGAATGATTCTAGGATTTTCTGAGGGATAGTTTGCGCTGCCAGCCTGTTGATTACACATTTAGGAGCAAAGAAGGTGGGGTAGTGGTAATAGTAGTGGTAGTAATCGTCGTCGTAACTGAGATCGACTGCCGGTCACTCAAACCGATGAGTTCGGTTTCCTCGCTTGGGTGTGTTGAGCCCCAAGAGCGCCCAACCAATGAGTTGGTTCATATATATTGATCACAAATTTCCGTCCCAAACCATTCATTTGTTGGTCTCCTCGCAGGGGAAGGTCTGCACTTGCCAGTTGCTTTGGGGATGGTAGTCCTGGCCTGAAACTGGGTGTCCTGGGTCAACCGGGCGTGATATCGGAACACATTAAAACACAAATCGTTTGCGAAAATATGTTCGCCCCACGCCTTTGGTAAACCTTACTTAGCACCTGTCAGCCTGACAGTTTGTTCGGTGTCCACATGAGTCCACATGCAACTTCATCTAAGTGGCCCAGATTCCAGCCATCTCGGACTCGAAGATATCATCAATGGCTTCCTAGGTGCTTTACTTCAGATCGTCAGATGATGACCAAACAGGGGAGAAAACAAAACATTGGGCTATGCAGCTATACAAAAGTTCCTTTATTAAGCGTAGTTCTTGGCTAGGAAGCAGGCTGTTGATTCAACTTGAAAGAGGAGAGGGTGAACGAAAGGTAGCAGGCAATCACAAGTAACCCTGGTAGAAGTCCATGACGGCGTGAACCGGCGCAGGGGGGATTTGATCCAGGGGGGGGGCCCCCCCCGACAAACAGAATCAACTCTTACAGGACCAAACTCAATGCACAATCCCAACTCCTGATTGTAATACATGTTTGCTAAAGCAAGGAGAACTCAGGTAGCTCAAGCTACCTTTCGTGACTGTTTCTTTTGACAACATCCATCCTTTTCTGAGTGGTCCAAGGGAAAGAACCACAAGTGGCGCTACAGCAACAAAAGCTCTCATCCAGGTGTCGTGGCGCCTTGTTCGTAAACACACCAAAGATGGGAGAACTGTCCCAGTCGACTTCTTTGTGTCTCTTTCTGTTGGTGATAGACTTCAGGGCTTTTGTGCACCAATCAACTCCTTGTTCCCAATGGGGGGTTGGGAAAGCCAGGCAAGAAGCTGAAGACCCTTGCCAGCCAACAGCAAACGACCCTCCAAAAAGGGTTTTGGGTTTAAGGTTGGCGGGTCTCACTGTGGGACTGGTCAGGAGGGCAAACCACGAACGGATCGAAAGGAAATTGAAAGGACCAAAATACACCTTTTGGTTTCCTTTTTTGTTCTCCTTCCTCCATGTCCTCCGGTCACAGTGAGTGCCAGCCCAGCCGGGACATGCACGGACCTGCGCACCATAGAGAGTGCCAGGTTCGCCTGAGCGCGTAGGCGCGCACGGATCTGCACACCACAGAGAGCGCCATCAGTCTGGGCACGCACGGACCTGCACAGATCGCAGTGCCTTCTTCCCTTGAGAGTCTTGCTTCCTGGAATAAGAAGATTGGCACTGCTCCCACAAATCATTGAAGAAACTGGGTTCGAGCGAAAATCTCTTGCTCTCACTGAGCACGCAACAATCCTGAAGAATCCTTGCGACTGATGAGAAACCATCCACAGTGCCAGTGTACTCTTCTTCCTCAAGATCTTCAAACATGCAAACATGCATGATTGCGTGTTCAACTATCAATCCTCCTTGCGCGTGGAATCTTGAATGAGGCGACGTGGTCACGCTCAATGACACACCTTTCAAGCTGCCCAGACTTGCACGGATGGTCTCCGACACACCCGGCTATTGTGACGTTGCAAGCCTTTGTTTCAAGCATGGATCCAGTTTCTCAACAGGGACGTTCAAACGCTTCATTTGCCTGCTTTGGCCCACACTGGCAGTGTACGAGCATGTGAGTTTTTTTGAGTTTCATGATTGAAAGCGTCGACAAAAACCTCAGTGTGTGAAAATGAAGACGAGTCAGCTTCCGCAACAGGCGCACCACAGAACCAGACACGTCATCAAAAATCTGCTTTTCCACTACCGGTGGGCACCACCATCAAGATGCAAGCTGGTGCGACGAGCTGGCCAAATGGCCGGCAAACGGGTGCGATCGCTCGCCGCTGTTCATACAACCAGGTGACGGCTTTGCGATTGCGAGCGAACTTGTCGAAGTCTCCGCGGCGATGAGGGGCCGCGCCGCAATGCAAGATTGGAAGAGGGTCCCATGTGGTCGCGTGCTTCCTTGCTCTCCCCCTTCAGCTCACAGCAGCGAAGATGTCCTTGGTTTGGTCGCCTCTTCTTCCCACGTTCACGTGCACAGCTTTCACCGCACGCCCGGTTCCTTACGAGTAAAGGTTCATTGCGGAACCAGAGTTGCCAGGCACTCCCAGCCCACCAGAGCCCTGTCCGTGGGAAAACATGGATGTTCGCACTGTGTCCGCCATGTGACTGATTCGTTTGTTTCTTGTTCGGTAACCTTGTGTTTTGTTTTCTCGTGCATCTCTGGCTTCTCTGGTTTCAAGTTTAGGTCCCAAAGCTGACAAACTCCGCTGTTTTACCGCAAAGACTGAGATCGGTGGCTTTTGCGGTGAAACACAACACATACAACACGTTCCGCGTAAATGATGTAAAATCCCTGGACCTTCCAACTACCAAAAAATTATGGTTGTTTTGGTTTTATGGTCGTTTTGGTCGTTTTGTTTGTTTTGCGTTATTTTGCGGATTTTTGTGGTCGTTTGCTGGTTTTTTGCGCGCGTTTTGTGTTAATTTGCGGTCGTTTTGTCGGTTGCGCTGATTTGCGGGCGTTTGCGCGGAAAACCGGGTCAATAACCAAAACTACCAGAATTTTTTGGTCGTTGGAAGATCCAGGTCTGTTGAGACTGCAATAACACCTATTAAACAACCATCCATGCCGACTGTACTTATATAAACTATACGCTGTTATACGGACTTACGAGCTATATACTTAGAAGATCTTAGAAGCTACTTGACATTTATTGTATTGTATAATAGCAGATATTAATGCTAAGTTCCATAAGTTTCCCGTGAGTAACTTATAAGCAGCTAAGTCCCAAGCGCCTACGCGGCAGGATTGGCACCTGCACAATCTTTTCATTCATGACGAGGCATCAAACTAGGAGGCCTGGGGTGGCAGGGTCGTAAGCCTCATGTTTGCAGTTCTTGAACTCAAAGTGAGGAGGGTCTCGAGATGTTAAATCCAACGATTCAGCCAACAACTCTCGATGTTCCATGGTCTTTGCCACTAAATCCAATCAATGTCCCCGGAATTGTCATGGCGAAGTAGGTGGCCATCACGCACTCGTGACCTGGATTCCAGCATCATGCCGGTGACCTTGAGCTTGATCATCACAGGGCGTTCCATGAACAAGCTTCAAACAGGTGAAACGTCCTTGCATGTCATCTATGGGTCCACGCACCAGGTGAATCATGCACCAGTTGATCATGCACCTTCGTCCCACCGTCTCAGCCGATGTTGAGCCCAGTTTGGGCGCCCCAAATGACTGAGTCCACACCGAACAAGCGTGTCCACCTCGCCCGGCCCTTGGACTCCCAAAAATGGCCGTCGGTGGCGACGAACCTCCTAAGAACCGCCCCAAATGTCTCTTCCGCCCAGGCGTCTAAGATCCACTTCAGCTTCAAGAGCCGGATCCTTGGCTCGCCCGAGATCTCTGGCCGGGCGGCGCGAAAGGCGGCTCGTGGTGTTGGGTACAAGCCCCGTGGGGGCTGATCTCCCACACATCGGTGCAGGTGAGTAGGTGAGATATCCCATTTCCGGTCCTGTGACATGGAGTCTTAATGAGTTCTCTCATCCAGCAGCTGGAAAGAGTCGGTGTTTTGGTTCATGACATGGTTTGATGTTTGCTTCCCCCTGAAGACCACATCTACTGACATCTAACAACGTAAGTTGAAGGCTCCGATGGCTTTCTGAACTTAGTCTTCACCCAAACTCGCTTCCGTCCCCGGTCGAGGCTTTGAGGGCACCGGCTTTGAGGGCACAGTTGAGCCTTTCGCCAAACAACTCACCGAGCTTCGTCTGTCATTGGGGGTTGACCAACGAAGCTTAGTCGACAGGCGTTGGATCCACCGGAGGAGTTGGTCATCCAGCCATGGACTCCACAGCCATGTCCATGTCAGATCAAAGCGCCAAACAGGTCGATATTGGTTCCAGATCCTGAAAACAAAAAGCTTTGGTTTCATGAATCAGTGAAGGTACATGTAGAAGAACCCCAACCCATGCAACAAAACCCAAGGCGTATCTTCTGGACCTTCACCCTGAAGAGGGAAGCCATTATTGGCATTTATTAGCTCCCCCCGCAGAAACTGACATGGCGGCTGGACATTGCCAAAATCTGTTCAGGTCTTGACAGAGAGTCTGTCACTCTGCTTTATACATCCCTCTGGGCAGTAGAAAAGTCTTGTTCAAGACTGTGACAAACGATCCCCCAATGGTTTGGCGCGACACTTGTACACACTCATGTAACTCATGTATACATGAGTCAAGGATAAACATATCAGAAAAGTATCAAAACACGTCTTCAGATTCCGGAAACCTACAAACAGTTCCGTGTTCTTTTCGGGGTGGTCCATAGGGTGTATGGGACCCGACCAAGTCACCGATCCACACCCGGACCCCGTGCCGTCCCAGTGGCAGTCGCGCGGTCCGGACCAAACGAAAGGCCCTGAGGAGCTTCACCACCTCGCCATCGCCTAGAGTCGACTCACCGGTGGCTGAGGTAAGCTGAGGAAGTACTTGCAGTGTTGGTAAGCTCGAGGCTTTTTCTCCTGGTCATTCAAGGATCCACTGTACAAAAGCGGTTAGGCTTCACAAGTCTCTTCATTACCCGACGCACCTTCAGCTGGCGCTATGTGCTTTCTTGGATCCTTGACCTTTGAGCTGCGTTCCAAGAGGAGGATCATCTCACAGTGCAAGGTGTGAGGAAACATGTCCACTGCTACCGCTCGCACCGGGATGAAGGGATCCTCATCGTTTTCACTGGGCATGGTAAGCTTGATCACATCCTCTACCAGGGAGTCAGGATTGCAACTCACATAAACGATCCGGGACAGTTGACTACAGCTCCTCAACGCTCGCAGCACGGTGCTATGGAGCCCAGGTCGAGGTGGGTCAACGACCGCTGAGGTCCGCATATTGGGGTCGAGCTCTTGCAACAGCTTTGGCAAGATATCCTCAGCTTTGCCCACCATCCATTCCTTGGATTCGCTGTCAAAAAAAAGTGTGAAACACAAAAACCCATATTCCCAGCAAGGTTAGGGGCCTTGAACCAATAGACTTCTAAGCAAAGTAGAGTCCCATATATTCCCCATATAAAACCAATCCGCAAAGCCAGGATTCCGTATTCTCGATTTGGTTCAAGGCAGCATTTGCCTTGGCCGATTCCACCGCCTCGGGCACCAGCTCGATGCCGATGACCTTCCTGCAGCGTCGACTGGCGCAGAGGCCAATGGTGCCCACACCGCAGCAGACGTCCAGAACAGTGACCTGAGCGAGCTTCAAAACCCATTTGTTTTTAATGAATTAGTATGAAATAGTTCCTCTATGTTCCTCTAGAACATAAAGATTTGTGTACAGACCCTTTTGGATGTTGCTCACCTCCTCTTCGGGTTGAAGCCACTCCAGTGCTCGACCATAGAGCAGGGCACAGGTGGCGCTGTTCGCCTGGTTCGGAAGGCCGAGGGAATTCAATGATATGTTCCCCCCTTAGAGGGGATTCAGCCCCGGGGGGGAATCATGGCGAACATCAAGTCACAAAAATCACCGTAAAGAAGCAAAGTATAAAGAAAGACGTGGCAAGGTGCCTCAATGAAAAAACAACCAAAAAAAACATCGTCACATGGCCTGATAAAAGGAGAGTGGGCCAATGTCGAAGGACAGCCCAAGGAGTTGCATCCTCAGTTGCGGCTGCCCGTAAATCAGCTCCAACACCGCACCGGGTCGTGCAGCATCGGACACCTCGTCGTTGAATTGCAGGTAAACGGAGACCACAGGGAGCGAGACCTGGTCCTGGGTGGAGGGGGGACCATTTCAAAGGCAAAGGTTGGAGGTTGGTGAATGAAAACGTCACAACGATCGTCAGGTTGGAAACAGTGCAATGAAGATATAGTATACTTGTTTGTTCTGTTGCGAAGATGAGGACATGGCTTGCTATTTTGCAGACTGGGAGAAGTTATATAACTAGTAGCTCTCTGTATAATGAAGAATACATAAACAAAACTAGCACCAATCACTTCCCCCTTTGTCCTGTGTGAGCGCAGCCTTGATCTCCGAGACCAACTCTTCCTTCTCCTCGCCACTCACCGTGGCGGTTTGCACCATCACCAGCAGTTCGGTGCCCGAGAAGCGCGCCATCACCAAGCGCCAGAAGCCGCGCTGCCAACCCCTGCCTCGCTCGAAGACAGGAAATTTAGAGGATCTGGCACAGTCACGCAGGGCCTTGCAAAGCCTTGGATTTGCTGGAACCGGGAAGCCATTTTTAAAAAATAAGATAGTCACCAGGTTAGGGGATTTAATCTTATAATAGTCCCAGGTTCGGGGATTAAATCTTATAGAGAACATCAAAATATCAAAACATCACCTGATCTACAAAACCAGGAAGCCGCTTCATCTCCTGAGGCACGAACGGCACCTCGTCGCAGCTGGCCACGACACGCCCGAAGCCATCGTCTGTGATGCGCAGCACCATGCCGCACTCGACTTGACCCGAGGAATCAAAACCAATACTGAACTCACATTTGTTTCGGTATCCCTCCAAACTCTCGTTGGGCGTTCCAATCGCCGCATCTAAGGGGCAAGCACATCCCACGGGCGCCTTGGAACCCTTGGACCACTCGTGGCTGGTCCAGTCAGGTGGCGGTTGATTCAGATCCCGGCACTTTTGGGCCACTTGCTTGGTAAAGGCCCGCACAGCTGACTTGATGTGAACTTGCTTCATGCCCAGTTGGGTCTCGTAACTCCAATCAATCAAGGGAGAAGTCTTGTGCAAGATGTCTCCAAATTTCTTGTTCTTCAACTTATCTTTCACATCTTTCAGCGTTGGCACATGCCCTGGTGGAAAGTCTTTGATCTTCTGACGCTTGGCACTGGGTTCCAAGCCGCCTTCCTGGGGTGCCTTCCTCGGTGTGCCATCCTTCACCGTGATGCTGAAGTTCCGGCACTGTAGACCATTGATGGCCTCTCTGAACTGTTCCTTGTGCTCTGGCAGCACGGTCACGAAGGCATAACTCCAGGTGGGCAACTTGAAGACCTTCTGCAGTTTCACTGGACTCACCTCCGTCAGCCACTGCTCCAACTTCCCATCTGGCATCTTGATGAAGTCTTTGCACTGCACGTGCAAGACGACGCCCTTCTCCATCTTCTCCTCTTCTCCATTGGGAGGCGGGGAGCTTGCTTTGGCCTCTGGCTCGGCCATTCTTTCAGCCTTTCAGCTGGCCAGCCAAATTCTAGGTTAAAGGGAGTCTTCAAAAGAACATCGGCAAAGATTCAGCGAAAAGGATCCGAAAAGGACACAATCCTTTGAGCACTTGAAGCTTCAGCCACACACTTGAGGATCGTTTTATACTCCAAAAATGGCATGTCATCATCTGCTGGACTGAGTATATACAATTCCATTCTACTTACCAAAAGAAACATCCTACGTACTGTATACACCTTAAATATCCTTAAATGTTCCTGTTAACTGTCTTCATTCCCTGCACAGGGTTGTACTTAAGGTTTCGCAAGGCTGAAGAAAATTAACCTTAATGCTCCCAAGTGGTGGTCACATCACATCCCGATTCGACACGACTCTCCGAATGGCACATTTATATATATATATATAGATTGGGGTGCTTGAAACGGACAGCAAAGCGGAGAAAAAACCTCACCAATCCCCATCCTTTTGGTGGAAAACCCCTCCCATCCCTCTGTATTTCAACGGACCCACCGCGGCTTTAAGGCTTTACATCCCATCCCACGTACGCCCTACGCGTCCCATCGCTCGCTCGCTCCTCGCGCGGATCGCTCGCGGCCTGAGTTTTCGTCTTCCACCTGGGGCGATCCGATGGAATAAGTACGGACGAAGGAGAGTCGAGGTCGATGCCCTTGGCTGCCAAAGAAATGGGGGGCCCGTGTCTCTTCATCATCATCCATTTGGTTTGGGGGTCAGTGAACATCCCTTTGACTCCAGTCTGCGTCTGCCCAGCACATGTTCACCGACCAACCCTTAAGATAATATATTGATTTGAACGGAAGGGCAGAAACGTGCGCAAATCTCTCGTGGTGCTTTCGCAAGATAAGAGGGATGTCTTGCACATCATATGAGATATACCTGAGAAGCTGCAAACGAAAGCCAGCGTTACCATCGGCCTCTGTAAAACTACACCTTACCATTCAGATGATGCAAACGATGCAAATTGCATTTCTTGCATCACCATCCCCTCAAAAAATAACAAAGAATCACCTCCAAAACAACCTCAAAAACCTTACTTAGGTGGACCCCTAAACACCATCTAATTTGAAGGCTACGTAGCCCTTTCTCGGGCCACCCCCCCCACACCCCCTACTTACTCACTTCATTCGCCAAACACAACTCAGCTGGCACCTTTTACGAAGGCTGGCTTTCGTAATAACTTGATATACAAACATGTCCAACATATCATGTACGGCATCTTTACAGTACATACATTTACCACTGAAACCACTACAATATAGGTATACATGTCATACATGGAGTGTTTGGCATATTCCAAGCTGCCTTAAGTGTTATCTGACTATCTTTGACCGCAAAAATCCACAATCACATCAAATCATGGTCTGCTTCCACACCGCTGGGGCATTTGGTGTACTTGAAGTGAACAAATGTCGGTTTGCCTGTCAATGTGAAAATATATGCCTCATGGATGCCTCATGGTCTATGATCAATTTGTCCATGTTTCAAATCCTCCACTCAGGGTCACTTCTATCATGCACGCAAACATGAACATGTGAGTCGTGCGGCTGTGGGTCAATGCCAATCACTCAAAAAACAGCGTGGGCGCTTGATATGCCTGCTAGTCCATGTTGATTGCTTGACAAAGGAGCTGGTCTTTCTCACAGATTTGCCGACACTCCCAACACCCAGTTATACTCAAAAGTTGCCGCGGTGTTAGCGCTCAACCAAAGAGTGCAACCGTTGACGGGTCGCGTCGTACAACGGGGTTCAGACAACGCACGAAAAGGAGTGGAGGATTTTGTTCACTCACTGGTAGAGACTCAAACACAATCAAACAAGAAAACAAGAACAACATGACATATAATAACCTTTAAAAATATCGAAAAATCAACTGTTCGAGTGTTTCTGCTCACATTGACCCGTCCCAAGGGTGGTCGCTTTGGGATGTCCTTCCCCCTTTTTCGATCCAAGGGTCCAGGTCCATGATGGCGAATGTCCAATCAAAGGGCAAGACCTGCCGACCGAGCCCCGCGCCGCGAGCCGAGAAAGGGTGAAGAGCGGGGGTGTCCTCCCCCAGTGACGAAGTGAGGAGGTCCCTAAAAGCGGTAGCTTTAGCTGGCAGCTTAGTGCTCTCTCTTCTAAAACAGGATCTCCAAATACAGTCACAACAGGACCATGGCCTGCGGCGCCTGCGGCGCCTGCGGCCATGTTCCACCGTCACCCGTTTTTTTTTGGATCCAACGAGGACGGACCAAAAGGACCAAAAGGACGGACCGCAAACGAATCGCAACAAGGACATGAGAACATGAAGCTTGAACTCCTTGGTCCTTTTGGTCCAGTCCACGATGCGGTTTGAGGCCAGCTTCAAGCGGAAAAAAGGGATCTTAACGGATCTTAAACAAACACAATCGCGTCCCGTTTTGCAGAATGATCTGCTCAGAAACCGATCTGCTCACGATCTCTACCCGGTGTGCACTGTACACTTCGTGTGTACCGTTTGACTCTCCTGTGCTGGCTACTACAGGCCCGGTGACACTTCGAGGGGTCGGGGTCTTGCTCCAACTCTTAGGACATGCCGTCACTGGCCTACAGCCAAGGGCTGGGAGACCTACACCTTCCAGGGAGGAGTTGGTGCAACTCCTTGCAGGGTGGACTCCTTGCCTCCCATCGACTCGGTGTTTTTTCACCGGTTCTGTGGGCCCGGGCCGTGGCATCGACGACGAACCAGGTCTTTAAGTAGTGGATGAAAATGCCTGAGTCGGACAACGCCAGCAGCTCAGGGGTGGGGTGCCTGGGGTTGGAGAAGAGGCGAGGGAGAAAAAGCAAGATGCCGTGCAAACTGCACCAAAACATCATGCAAAAGAACCAACAACAACCATGAAAAAACAAAACACTGTTGATCTTCCTGACTCTTACAGAAGCTTGCAAGGACATTGATCTTCATGCACTTTCAACCACGTGTCGAAATGTGGCGAATTTAATTCCGATTCCACCTCAGTGACCGACGACCATCCATAAATTCCGTAAACACGGAACACGTTACTCGTCCTCCTATCAGTTTCAAGAAATACTTTACACACAATTTCAACAAATCCAAATAGAACCTGTCAGTCACAAATCTGGTCTGGTATCTGTAAGTGATGCCTCTGGTCCCGGTGCAAGGTCTTTGGATTTCTTGACATTCTCTCATTCCGGCACTCAGATCAACTTGGTCATGCATGCACACATGATCCCGAAAAGTAGGACAAAGGACAGCTTGGGTGCCTGGTCCGAAATTGCTCCCTTTAGGTGCCTAATTTGATATAAACCCTGGTATAGATCCCTCTAGTATATGAAAAACCTTCACCTTGATCTCCAATCACGCACTCTGCGCACTCTGTTCACGCTCCACATCCCTCGTAGCCTCAGTCGGTGCTGTCAAGGAACGATACGGATCCATGATCGCCTGTCCGTCCACCACATAGCCTCAGTACATCGCACGGGCTGTATGGTGACTGTGCTGTAGAAAATGGCGCAGGCCAAAGAAACCAGCGGAATTCAGGGGAACGTACATCAAGAACCTCTGGAATAGTGTGAAAGAACTAGTCCATTCTAACATCTCCTCAGAGACTAGAAAATGGTGCTGCAAGCAAGCAGTGAACAATTCAATTGTTCAGACTTTGAGTGATTGAGTGAGTGATTCTGATTTTCTTGCCATTGCAAAGTCGACCGGCCTGCGCCGGCCCTTGCGTGAATGCCTGCCAATACCCACTTGTCTAGAATTGTGCAAAATCAATTAACCAGGTTGGAGATGGTGTGAACAAACTGCTTCAAAAGTTAAATCGTGGCCAAAAGCCCACGCACGACCACAATCTCGTACATTTGCCGGGAGCGAGTGTCTCCGGAATGGAGTGCATAGCTGTAAGTGTTCAGCCCGCGTCCCGCAGCACGTAAGGACGAACCTTGACGGTCGGCCTGCGGATCCCACAGCCCATACAGGAAGCCTCCTTGAAGGAAATGCACCTCATCACAAGGAGGGTTCCAAGAACACTTCGTAACACCTAATAACCCCTCAGAAAGTCACCACAAGAACATCGTCCCAGCACCTCCCCTTATCACTTCAAGTGTTCAAGTGGTCTCAAGAAGGGGGGCAGCAGCAAGCGATCCACACCAGTCCATCCCAGTCCGTCACTGAGGGAGCGAACCCAGCGTGAGCGTCACGGGGATGTTCACCGTCCAATAGAGCAAACCCAGCCATTCCTCGTCGTGAGTGGGGAGGAGTTGATTGCAAACGTTACATCGTTCACTTGGGAAGGTCATTGGTTTAAGCATGTTTAAGCCGAAATTGTTCGTGTCCAATCCCTGAAGAATTGTTCGGCCTCCAGGGCCTCCAAAATCCGGGGGCTCCATTACAAAAGTGTATACATTGCAAAGAAAGATATGCAAAGAATCATCGCAGTGGGCATCTCACATTCCAAACCTCTCAAATTCATTCAAATTCACTTCTCCCATTCTTCCCATCCATCGGTTACGACGAGTTGAACGATTTTTCACCGGAGACAGGTGCAGCCGCGGGACTGACTGAGTGTGGACCAGTAACTCCTGTCCTGGATATCTGGAATTCCTCGACTAGGTCGGATTGTCGGAACTTCCTGACCTAGGACCACGACCACCCTCGACAATCCCAGCCGAAGCTGTGCCCAAGTCCTAAGTGGATCCAGTTTCGACGGTCACTCCACGGTCACCCAACCACCAGGCCTTTGATCGAAGTCAGACGACCACCGCCCCGACCCAGCGCAGCGACCGCGCTGGCGACGCGGTGCCCGCGTGTGCTGGGCGTCCCTACCGTGGTGACCACCATGGGGGTCACCGGTGGGTCGAAGACCCGCAGTGGGATCATGAAGCAGTCCTCGATTGGATGACGCCACGCGTCATCGGTGTTCGACGCCGTGCCGGCGCCCCGGCGTCGGGTTCGGTTGGACAGAATGCCGTGGGTTTGGGGGGTGATGTGAGTTGACCACTGATCATGAACAAAATAGATTCTCTGGGAGGTCAACCTATGAGGGTTTGGGGTTTCCAGGTTTTGACTCACAGCCAATTGACTTCACGTGCCACGCAATCTTCGAGTTTTTACAGAGTTGAAGT